TAAGCCTAAATATAGTCATGTGTGATCTTGTTTGATTCGTCTTAACATATAGATTATTAATATATAATTTTTATAATTTTTTAATATACAAATTACAAGATAAAATGAATTAAAGAAGTGCATTGGATGGTGTGCAAAAATGAAAGTGGACAAACACTCAGGGACGAAGGGAGTATGTTTTTTCATCAAATAATAAATTTATTTTGAAATTTTGGTTTAAGTTTTACTATGTAAGTTATACTACCCCGTCCCTCGATATTTATCCAATATAATAAATCTAATAAAATTATATTTGTAACAATATCTAATACCATTTTTATTTAATTTGAGGTCAAAATTTATTAATTTTGAGCGAAAAAAATCAAAAAAATGGACAAATAATCAGGGAGAGAGGGAGTACTACTTTTATTCAAGTTTTAGTTTTTTGTAGATGAATATAAAAATATAAACAAACCTTTGAAATACTCCGTACCATTTTGATACAATTAATTTTTTTACTTTGTGAAATATAAACTAAGTCTTAATAAACATTTCTTGAATTTAATTATACATTTTCTTTTTTTAATGTTTTTTATTTAAATGTACTTTTCATTTTCAAAAATTAAGGGATTTTGTTACATTTTAAAGTGTAAATTAAATGTATTTGTATTTTTTCGATTTATACCAAAATCGATACTCCGTATTAAACTATCCCGAACCATACTGGATCAAGAGCAATACAACGTAAAATCTCATACTAAACCAAAATATTTAGTATCGTATCGGTGCAAGTTAAATATTGTACCATGTTCAGTTTGCTCACTGATATGGTATGGTATAATATTATTAATATATAGGGTGTAATTTAGCTAGTACCTCAATTTTGACCTCAATACTTCCGTGAGCTATGAAATTTTACACCCTACCAACTTTAATCTCCAAGTATAAGTTTGAGAAGATTTTTTATTAAATGAGATTTGATATGCTTTAAATAACTTTGTATTCACTTTACATTTAAGAATAATATACCTGGAGTAACGAAAATCATTTATATGTTTTTGAAAAATCAAGAGTACACATTTAAGTAAAGAAACGCAATAATCCAAAACAATGAATTGCTAAAATCCAATAAATAGTTATAAAAACTTATACAGCAAAGTCAAAACAAATAATAACAAAATTTATACATGAAAGTGAAAAATATTAAGACTGTGTCAAGAAACATTTATATCTCTAAATACATAGTAAACGTTTAATGTCAGCAAATATGACTAAACAAGTTGGATTTGGAGAATGTGGACTTTGAGACCGATGCTCAACACGTCATTTTGGGGTTAGAATTCGAACCATTTAATTTACCTTTTGGTTTTAATATTTCTAATATTAAAGAAGTTGCGGTATGTTTTAATGGATTGAACTCCAATTTTGTTAGGAGATCTATGAACATGCTACCTACCTTGTGAATAAGGAAGCTGATTCTATGTCTGATCCTGTAGAATAACATGTTGTTTTGCCTCTTTTCCTTGTGAACAATATTTCTACTGAAATGATAAATTGAGTTTTTATCATCAAAAAAAAAAAACTAATTCCTAATTTATAACAATATAATCTTTCAAATGCTCCTTATTGTTTATCCGTATATATATTTATTCATAAAAAATTAAAACTCAAATACAACTCATACCTAATAAAACCTGAACTGAAATTAAACTACTATGAAATATCAAAACTACCCTTCTTAACGCCAACCATGGCAACCATGGTTGGCGGTGGTGCTTGATTAGAAGAAAAACAAGAAAAGTAAAAAGAGAACTACGGATTACTTTGGGAAGGGTAGTTTTGATATTTCACAATAGTTTTACTCCCAAAACTAAAACGGGTCCCATTCATGTGAATTAGCATTGTTTTACTTGTAGTGGCATATTTTTCTCTTTAATTTTGTATTTTTTCTTTAAGAAAAAATAATTTTATTTTGAATTTCAGTTCACGTTTTATTAGGTATGAGTTGTATTTTACTTGAGTTTTAATTTTTTGTGGATAAATATATACCAATATACAATAAGGAGCATTTTGAATATGATTTTGTTATAAATTAAAAGTGTAATACATTTATTTTGTGGTTAATTAAAAAATACCCCCCAGTCCCAAAAAAGATTATAGTTTAAATGTAAAAAAATTATTATTTAAATAAAATATAAAGGTAATTTATTGAAATATAATAGTTAAATTAGGTATGATATGTTTTTCTACTTATTTGAATAGTTGTATGAAAATTAATTTATTCATTTCTCATCATTATAACAAGTCTAAAATAAATTTGTGGGCACTGCCCCCGAACTCCGCCATATTCCTTGATATAATCTTGCCCCCGGTCACATTTTTTCTTGGATCCGTCACAACTGACATCATTTTTGGTGGCAACTAGGGATGTAAACAAATCAAATATTTTAAATTCGATTTGCGATTCGTATTCGAATATGATGATTCAAATTCGCGTAATTCAAATACAAATTCAAATTCAAATATTATTTTTGATTCGAATATTAATCAAATACAAATACAAATAGGGATATATTCGATTCGGATGATATTCGAATATTCGAATATATGTATATATACACAGACCATGTTTTCAACATCAAAAGTCAAGCAAAGTAATATAGTATAAAGTGTATTTAAATACTAAGAATTCAATAAATTAACGTAACACGAAAATCTAAAGCATATAATTTTTAATAGTTATATTTTATAAAATATAATTTGTGTAAGATGCAAATGTATTAATGTTTTTATATACGGAATATAGTATAGTATAAAGAGTATCGTAAGTTAAATTACAAATTATGTTGGTCCATCATATAAATTACATAGTATGATTATTCAAATATTCGTTTATGATTCGATAACTATTCGAATATTAATCAAATACTTATTCAAATCTTATTTGGAATTCGTCTCATATTCGGATTCAGATTCGTATTCGAAAAAATTAAACAAATACAAATTCAAATATATCGATAATCGCCTCGATTCGATTCGTTTACACCCCTAGTGGCAGCTCCCAGGGTCGGCGTGAGGGAGGGACATGGCCAGCTATTGATTTAGGTATTTTTATTTTTAATATACACATTGTATATTTTTTTAATAAAAAACTTAAAAACTCAACATTTTAAAGCTTGTTATTACGATATTTAATTATAATATTAAAAAAATTTATGTGCATTATTTTATATTAATTATTGTTTAAAAATAATTTATATAATTTACGGAATAATTTATTAGGAGCTAAAGACCATTTTTTTGTCTCGTTCAAGGCCACATAATCTTTGGGGTCAGCCCTGCATGGCTGCTATCTCTATTTTTTCGTTGCTATCATCAGAGCTGCCAGGGTCGGCCTGAGGGTGGGACATGCTATTGATTTAGGTTTTTTTTTATTTTTGTAATATACATTCTATATACTCTTAGTTCTGGAGTATTTGTCTATTTTTAAATTTTTTCGGTTAAAATTGATAAACTTTAACCCCAAATTAAATAAAAATGATATTAGATATTAATATAAAAATAATTTTATTAGATTTATTATATAAAATATTTTTAAAATATTATTTTATCTGATTAATATATAATATATATTTTATTTAGTTATCTGAAGTATTTTTTTTGCTGCTATCATTACAGCCGCCACCAAAAATGATGCCAGCAGTGACGGATCCAAAGAACATATGTGACGCAGGGCAAAGTTATATTAAGGAATATGGCAGGGTTCGGGGGCTGTGCCCAAATTTTTTTTAGACTTGTTATAATAATGAAAAATAAATAAATCAATTTTCATACAAGTATTCAAATAAGTAGAAAAACATATCATACCTAATTTAACTATTATATTTCAATAAATTGCCTTTATATTTTATTTAAATAAGCACAAAAAAAAATGTATCGCTCTTTTAATCAAAACAAGTTGACTAGCCCCCATTCCCTTCATTATTGACAATTGAATGTCGTTATTGGCTTTGTTTGGGAACATCGTTTTCGATTAGTGTCAGCGTTTTGGATAAAATTTTAATGGTGTACATTAATTCCGAAAACGCTGACTCTAAAGGCTACCGTCGGATAACCTTTTCAAAACGCCAACACTAATAGCTAATGCTGATGCCAAACGGGGCCATTGCCTACTCTTCAGTGTTCAGCCGACTTGTTCAGTGAGCAGCACGTAATAGTGGTGTGAAAATGAAAAATTTCTTGGGAAATAAATGTCAGTTATTGAATTTTGAAATATTAACATAAAATCACACATTTTTGGAGTAATAAAGTTAATTTCTGGGAGCAGTAATGTCATTACTTATTAGCGAATGATGAACTACACTTAACTTTGACTTTTTCCGTCAAAATTGGTAATTTTTGACCCCTAATTAAATATAAATGATATTAGATATTGAAACAAAAATAGTTTTATTAGATTTATTATATAAGATATTTTTGAAATAATATTTTACTCCGTATCTAATTAATATACAATATATATTTTATTTAATTATAGGTCAAAGGTTAAAAACAATTAATTGAAAAAAGTCAAAACTGGACAAATACTCTGGGATGGAAGTAGTAAACTATACTTAAAAAAAATAAGAACATCCCCTTTGGTTTGGGGGTAGTAAAAGGACCACATTTTAAATGACAGGCAGACTCGGGTTCAAATCTCAGCGAAAGTTTTGACTTTGCGCTTCAAGAGGTTGAAAATATCTATAAATAGATACTACATGATACTCACTAATAGAGTTAGTACTACAAAAAAATTGAAGAAAAAAAAAAGCCTCCTCTTCAAACACAACCATATCTAACTCCTTTTGGAAATTCCGTAGTGCCCATGAAAATAAACGTGTAATAAAAATCCGGGTGTTACACGATAATTGTAGATTCAACATACGCAAGTGAGCATTCATGAAACGAAAATGAGCAACCGTCATTCAAATGTGCATATTTAAAAGTGAAACAAGCAGAGCAAAAAATAACATGGGAGGAAAAAGGAAAAGAGCACTTTGTTAAGAGAAATGAGCAGCCAAAAGTCCAGAAGTAGTAACCAAAAAGAACAGTTGGATGTACAACATGATTTGCCATTTGTTTAAAGACATTTAGATCAACAATTTCTTCCATTTCTATATGACATTAGTCAATAAGCAATGCAAAAGAAAGTTGCAAAACCCAAGTATAGCTACCCCATTTTGAAATTCATTTTCATTTCTTTTCTTTTCTTTCTTTTTTTTTTGCTGATATATGTTCAGCACAGCAGTTATAAGGTGGAAGAAGCCGCTTTACATCCGTGTGCAAAAATATATCAAAACGCGCACCTGGTTTCTAGACACTGCAACCTTTTCCTTCAGAAGATGGGTGGAAAGCGAAAGCCCGGCATGGCTCATTCGCCCACGTCAAAAAATGGAATTCTCCTGGCAATATTTCGAGGCAAAGTTATCAATCTTGCACAAGATTATACCTCACCATAAATGGAAAGGGGATGGGGATAGACCAAATGACCAATTAACTTCTGGTGAGAGTTAAACTTCCCATAATGTACCAAACCGTCAGCCCTAAGCATCTCTCAAAAGGAGTTAAACATGGATTTTGAAATGTGATACCAAAAGGAGTCTGGAGAGGTGAAGTTTACCTCACTTAATATATTTGATTCAAACCAGTAAACATTTGATACTCTGATGTGGAACACTTGGCATCATTAAATATGTTTGTTCAAAAATTTTCAAGGGAATCCCAACATCAAAATGTGATCCCAAAATTACAATTCAATACAATTATTTTTAGATCCCAATAAAAAAATATTTTCCATGCCAACAATTTACGCTCTTTTGTTCCTTTATATCTTGGTTTTCCATGTCATCGTGTTTTTTGAAAATTTTATTAAATTTTAATTTCCAGAATAATGTGTGTCATCGAGGAGGTGCGATAGAACTACGGGACCTGAGGAGGGGGGGGGGGATAGACCTAACAATAATTAGACATAACTTGAAGCTTTAGAAGCTAACCAAGGATAAGGTTGGAGATAATGGTTGTAGATTAGGCTTTGGGGAAGTTGTCTATTCTTGTGCAGGAGTTGCTGCTTTATTTCGTATTTTTGTTGTTGTTAGGCGTGTGTTTGGTTCATTTTTCTGTATTTATCTTTCTATTTCCTCTTCTTTTTCCCTTGTTGTTTTGTTCTTCCTTGGTTCTTTTGTGTTTTGAACTCAAGTCTCTAGGAAACAGCCTCCCCAGGCCCCACTTTGTGAGAATTTACTAGGTTTGTTGTTGTCATTGTTGTTGGAGTTATATGAACCACAATTTTTTTTGAATGATGAAAAACAAAAAGGTTTGAATGTTTGATTTGTCTCGTACTCAATTCGATGTACATTTGCTCATCAATTATTAGTGCGTTCGACTCTATTAGGCGACAGCACAATTTTTCCAAAGCAATGCAAGATTGTCAGGCCTATAACATGCGAAAAGAAATGCATGATTGGCAGAAAAACAAAAAACACCAAAATTCTTACCAGCCTCCATGCCTTGAAAAGTAATCATTATCCAGCGATATAGCAAGTGCAAGAGCTACTGCTCGCTCCGAGAGGGTTAGCGGACGAACTACGTCTAGCTCTTGAATCTACAATGAAGAGCAAAAGACATCGCTTGAAAATCGACTATGGACAATAAATTACAAACGCTGAACATTCGTAAGATGTTGTTTTACCCCTCCAACTGGGGCAATACTTGATTCGGCTTTACCAAATTGAATCACATACTGGCCCGCATCAGTGAAAATCTGCAATGCGCATCATATTGTCAACAGGTTTCTTGATTTTTTTTAATATGTTAGACCACTTGAGGAGAAGGAATAATTGTTACACTTTAATACCATACAACATCAGCAATAAGAATAACAATATACGTTGTGCCCGATATTAACAATGCAACATATAAAATTTTTGAAGGTTTTTTAACCAAAGCCATGCAGGGAAAAAGGAAGAACGTCGAAGTAATCAGTCGATTTTGCTAAATCAAGTAAGCAACTAAGAGTAGAGAGTAACCTCAAAACCAAACCCCCTCCAGTCACGATCTATCTGGGCCAACACTTTCCCATCAATATCCTTTAATGTAAAAGTCCAGTTCCAAAAGCCAGGGTTCTCAACCACAGCAAACTGCTTGTCCCTGCAACACAATAGACCATTTTTATTAGAGTTATTTTGATAAAATGAACCAGAAATTTAATCATAATTAGTTCAACAATCTGGATGTCAATCACCACGGCACATGCATATTATGGTGCATTAAAAAGCACTAGTTCAGACTAAACCAACCAAACAAAAGTTTTTCTTTAGACAACCAAACAAGAGGAATATCTTATGGTAGATTTGCACACTCCTAAAATCTCTTGAAAAGTTATAAATCTGAAGTCTTTAATTAAAAAAACATAACTTAATTAACTAGTTGTAGCAGGAGGTTAGTTAGGTCAAAATGTTAGTTGATGTTATGACTTATGAAGTTGTTGGAAAGTTAGCTGATATTCTGAGTTTATACATGTGTGTCTCTTGCATCGTAAAATGAAATGAAAACGAGATAAACGGCTCTTTCCTCCCCATTTCCTTCATGGTACAAGAGCCACAAACTATGGCCTGGTTTTTGTCCCTTTCAGTTCACCAGTACAAACATTCAACTAATTTCCCTGAATCTTTTTTTTTTCTGAAATTGAACCATCCAATTTATTTTCTGCAACCGGTGAAAGTTGTCAAACTGTTCATGGTACTGCCACTGCTGCTGCTACCTCACCGTTGCTCCGACCTCATGCTCTGATGCATGTGGTTATATCCTGCAAAATTGTTTGGCAACGTTCTCCAGATTTCTTCTATCGCATGTTTCAACTACACTTATGTAGTAATGTGATTTCATTTTTGTGGCAATGATGTTGTTACTTTTCGGTTAAAAGTAAGGTCTGCATACATACACCCTCCCTAGTGGGTTGATGCCGTTGCATTATAGTTTATGGGGTCAAGGTGTATATGATCACCTGTGAAACAAGATAGTTGATATACCAGAAGGGATAAGACAGTTTAGCGTGGGAGAGGATTCATGCCTAATTATGCAGCTTATTATAGCAATCTCACTATCTCCGATGGAGCCAAAATTTCACCATTTTTGGCTTTGGGGTGTGATGGAATAAATCAAAATGGATCTCTAAACTATCTGCGCTTCTTTAATTAATGAAGTAGCAGTTAGTCAAACAATGCAACTTTCGACGTTGAGCCGGGGGTCTCTTTGGAAACAGCCTCTCTACTTTCGAGTAGGGGCAAGGTCTGCGTACACACACCCTCCCCGGACCCTATGGGATTTAACTGGGTTGTTGGTTGTTGGTTGTTGTTATAGCAATCTCACTCTCATCAAAACTGTCTTCCCTTTTCACGCCTTTTAGAACATAATACATTTTGTAATGTCGAGAGCACTTGCGGAGTTATGGGATGAGGCATTAATGACTGGCAGCAGTTAAAGGCGGTGATGGTGGTCAATGCGGCAACATGGTAGATGATGGTGGTCAACGGCAATCTCGAAAACAGCAGTGGTCAACTTTGGTCAATGTTGGGAATGGTCAGCAATGATGGTGGTGGGTAGTAGTTGCTAATAGTAGCAGATGTCAGCAATGGCAGGGTTTTCAGAGAACCCCGACCAAACAATGACCCATAACGTGAAAGAGTGAGAAATACAGACACACACATCTGCATGGCTAACAAAGTCACACACAATCCTTACAAGGATTCTAGAGCCCTAATACAGTCTCCAAGAAGGCAAAAACTTCTATTGGAGGTCATGTCATATGAGAGATTTAAGACCAACAAATCCTACCTCCACTACACTGGGTAAACATATAGAGAAATATTGTTAAGTATGGTGGATTGAGATATTAAAAGCCCTTTTCAGATCAAGTACTTGCACGACTTCTGAGAGAGCGAGGGAGAATAAAAACTAGAAACCAATATGTGGCTATCACTGGAAGAAACCACAACTTAAAGGCTTCATGCAATCGAAATTCGGAGCTCTTGAACAATTTGTCAAAGTAAAAATTACTAAATTAGTGTTTGATTCTAGAAGAGTTGGTTAGAGCAGATAAGAAATTCAAAAGGAAAGGATTTTACCCCAAATACAGATCATAAATTCTCCTCCACAGATGCCATCTTCTGTGGACTACACCTATTTCCTGAAAACCTCAACATAGTACCATAAAACTGCTTTTAAATCAAGCTCACCATAAATGTTTAATGAGAGGTGATAGAAAAAGGAAACTTTCAATAGATGGACTAGAAATAGCATACTTTTCCATTGATCTCGGCATAAATGGAGCTAGTAATCCACCAAAAAGGCCTTCTTACCTGATTGTAGTACAAAAGAAACGTAAATTACAAATTCAGCTATTAGAATATTCATAGCTGAGCATTGCAACAGCTTGTGTCTCTCCGAAGAACGCTCCCTACCTTGTACAGGTAAGATCTTCCTACACTCACCTCCCCTGACCCCATGCGTGGGATTTTACTAGGTTGGTTGTTGTTGCATAGTTGAGCACTGAACGATATTCAATATAATAGAAGCACATTACACTCCTAGAGACCAAGACCCCACCAGAATTGGAACTAAACTTGGTTGTTGGCGATGTTGTTGGCAGTGTTGTTGTATATTAGTTGTATTATAATATAAAAACCATTCATGGGCCTACAATCACAAGGTTGAGCTGGTTCCTTGACATGGTACTAGAGACTTGTTGACCAAGAGATCACAAGTTCGAAACTCAGCGCCACCCAATTTAAAAATAAATAAAGTTTCACATGCAAGGCTCGAAGTGACCACCCATGCACGCTCATAATATTCATATGTGAAGAAAAAAGGTATATTAGAATCCTTACCCTAAAAAGCTCATTACCCAAGCCATCAGTTATACTTGCCACAAAAGGGCGTCTGAGTCGAAGCAACTGCACCATAGCAAACACATCAATCATGTACAAGAATAAAAAGGGCTATATGATGTACAAAAAGAAACCCTACATGTGTTAATTGCTATCCAGCTGTTCACAATGAATTTTTTTTATAATTTATTCTTTTAAGTGTTTTTTTAAAACCCAGCATGGAATAAGCACTAGCACCAACGAGTAATTTGTTGTGATAGTGCATTTTTTAATTACAAACTGCGATAGTGTTTCTAGATTATTTATGTTATACACTATGCTCTATCATTAGTTTTAAAATGTTTTGTGGATATTTTTCAATTTAAAAATTGAGGCTTACGCAATACGCCATGAAAAGAAAACGCCTCGAAACCGCAATACGCAATTTTGAACATTGACTGAAGTATGGTACTTTGAATTTCATAGTTTATGAATCAGAATATATTTATGTTAATGTCTTTATATATATCGTGTATGAATTTTTGCCTAATCGTCACCTAGCGATCTTGGCGTCGTGACAACCTTGCCAACTACTTGACAACCATGAATCATTTATTAACTACAGTGTTGGATAAAATCAATCCTGTCATAACTAAGTAACTAGCAGTGAAACTTAGGCAGCAAAGACAGAATAAAACATACAAAAACAACAAAACTAAACAAGCGTGGACTTAGTCTAAAAAGAACCCAAAAAAATAAAGCATACCTGTCTAGCAAGTATACTACTTTTTTCACGGATATAACCTGCAGGCTGACAAGACAGTTCCAGAGTAGGAATTGTCAAAGTACAATGTTATGAAAAGGGGAAACTAAAACAAATGTATCTGGCCAATAAAATGGTAACGATGTGCATACCGACTGTGGGTAGTATACATCTACAATGGCATATCGGTTTTCCTACAATGAAGAGGTCATAACAATTATTACAATCTCAGCAGATCACAAGAAAAAATACCAATACGTGCAGGAGAACAATTTCTGTTGAAGGACAATCTCAAAATATCAAAAATTGGAAAGCAGAGAGCATTGAGGAACTAAATAAGTAGTACGACTGCAAACACAAAATACACTGCCCACAGAATAGCAATAAGCATAATGTACTTCAATGGCTTAATCCCTTAATACACTCGGGATGGCTGGTAAATTATTGCAAATACATTAGAGGAAACATACAAAATATGCACACAAAATTCATTCATCATATAGGTCATTTCTTTGACCAAGTTCTGGACGTCTTATTCACATATTTATTGGTATAATCCCCAATGCACCTCGACAAAGTTACTTTAAAACTTGGGATAGAATTTCCAGTGTAAAAACCCTAAAATAGGACAATTCGCTCTTTATTTAATTTGTTTTATTTGATTTGAACTCAGCAAATGATTAGGGTGCATTTCAAATCAGACAAGGGAGGTTCAAAACTTCAAATTGATAGTCAAAGAGGGGATTACGTAAAGTGTAAAAGTGTTGTATCATAGATTGTGCTTAGTGCTCTTCCTATTAAGAAGGTAGAGGGCGAAGACTCAAGAGGTATAAGATATATAGCTATCTTATTTCATCACTCTGCTGCCCATAGACAGCATGAAACTATGAAATAAATATACACTATGCAGTACATACGTGGGTCTACAAGGACGCAAATACATGTGTAGTACATACATGCAAAGTCAATACACTTTTCAACGCTAAAAAATAGCCTAACAAAGGTAATTGTATCAATTAATTAAAAAAACTTACTTGCTCAAAGCCTAAAACAAGATTCGCCCATTCTATGTCTCTAGTAATCAGCAAGTTGGATCTAGCAAGAAGACAAGCAACCATAGCCTGAAAGGATAACATGAGAAAATCATGTCATTCTTCAAAGAAATTCATGTAAAAATGTAGAATGCTTAAAATTATTTAGTCATTGCATTGATGTCATGATCTTTACATCCAAGGTCCGACCATAGATGGAGCCTTGGAGTGCTGAAACATTTAACACACATTATCATCACTAATTTCTGATATTCATTTCTCATGATTTGTAACTACCATTGTCAACATGTTCTTTCCATGAGGTTCCTACTGTTAACAGCTTCAAATACTTTTATGATTGAACAACGAGAATAATAAGTGATATCAATTCTTTCTGTCACCCCAATAATTAAGGATAATTAAGGATGCAGGCAAGAGGTGAAGTTTGAAAGCATACACACAACAAAGTGATATTCATCCATAAGAAGTCTAGGAATTGAGGATTATAGCTTAGAAGTGAATGTAAAATAATCCAATTACAATCGTGTTTAGACTTTATAAGACATATTACTAAAAAGCAAATCAGCAATCCCTAATTTCCAAGAAAATATCAAAGACCAAACAGATGCATATATACACAAGTCCAGTCAGAGCTTAAGAGATAGCAGGTGTGCTGATAAATGACACTTATGCATCAAAGATACATTGAAAATGTAGTCATGTACAAAAGAATTCCTGAGATAAATCAATAACAAATTGTAATGATCTGCAGTGTGCTGGAACTATAAAATTTGACCATTAGATGATGACTTTGGTCTTCCATTTATCTTTGCGAGTGGGAAGGTGAGATAACCTTACCTCTTCAGGTGATGAAGGTTGCAGAATGCCTGTCACAGTTTCACTAACAGGCGGTTGTCTGAGCTTGGGTTTCAGTTCATCAGAACCACCTGAGAAACTACAAGACCCTGCGTCATCATGGTTCAGGGCACCACGAGTTTTTGTTCTATGCTTTTTGCCAGCATTCTGCATCTTTCTGTCTGCAACCCATAACTGTACAAAAAAATCTCTGCTCAAATCGGGATCATTACGTGCGCCCTGGCAAAATGGACGAGATACAATCTTTAGAGGATGCTGCACGCACTGGATATTTCTCGCAATGGAATCAGACAGCTTAACCGTTGATAGCATTTTTCTTCTTGAGTTCAATGATTTAGAAGAAAAAGCATTCTTGCAATCTGTTTGAGAAGGCGATATTGACGACGCATATCCTCTATAGAGTTTCAAATCAAACAATGAATTCTCCTCAACAGCAAGAATCCCATTCAGATGGTTTTTGGTCATCAAACATTGTGATGACTTGTATTGTCTGACTAAACAATGCACATGCTTCCTCCAGTTCATTTGGAAAAAACTGTCAGATGACATATAAAAAGCCATAATCAATTGTAGTACAGAGAAAAATTCATACTCTACATCTGTACACCAAGATAGTGGCAGAAAATGTTCATATTACCATGGATTTGAATTGAATACTATAAAATTACACCTGCCAATAAGCATATATGGTAGGAAATTCTTGGGTAAACAATTGGTCAGCCTGTTACATAACCAGGTGAAAATTAAAATGCGTAATGTGATTTTTTTAAAACCACTTTAACCAATTAAAACTGATCGACATAATATGATAACCAACCGAAACTAATTATATATAATGACAATTGATCACACCTCATTGCAAAGTTCCGATTTCAATTCTCAAGATTCCAAGAAAATTACATGCAGCAAACTTACAACAATTTAGTAACATATTTGAATACTACTTAATCGAAACCAAACAAATTATACACAAATGCATTTTATATTTTTTTGGTGTGATCACTATAAAGAAATACCCCGGTTATCCAGCAAAACAGAATCCCAATAAACTAGTAGAACAAGCCCAAATAAAACCCCTCAATTCCATAGTCATTTGCACAAAACCTAGCAAAATAATGAACCCAAAACAAAACATCGGGCGCAAATCCAGTCTAGAAAAAAAATAACAACTTAAAGTTATAGTAAAGTACGAATCAGGGAAAGACCTTAACATGAAACAAAAGAACTGAACAAATAAAACTGAAATCCGTGTATCTAAACAACACAAACTTATTTCAGAGTTGGATTTTTAAAAAAAGATTGAAACTTTTATGGACTCACATCCATCAACACATGTTCTTATTTGGCAACAGCTTCAAATGCTTCAACCATTCGAAAAGATGACAGTTTTTTTTTTAGATTTAAAGTCTATTAATTAAAGAAAGTATTCATGACATTAAGGATGATTAAAAAAATAACAAGGCACAAGACTCACGATGTTGGGCGATAGTAGCGGTGGCTAATGTAGTCGGCTTGTCAGGCAAAAAGAAATGAGATCATCTTGCAGGTACTGAGTTCATCTTAATAGGGAGATGCAGAAAATGGAGTAAAATTATGTCAATGTTTTGCTGCTTAAAAATGCTAGGGGTACACCAATTTTTGTACCCCATTTGTACCCCCTCCATCTCCACCATACAAAAGCAAGAAAAGAAAAAAAAATTAAAAATATGAGCAATGCTAGTGGTACACCATTTGATGTACCCCAAATGTACACCACCCTCTTTTCCTCCACACATTTTTATTTGATTTTTATTTACTTATTTTTTTTTGAATTTTTTTGCCCTTTTAGTGGACAAGGAGGGGGTGGGGGACATTTGGGGTACACCTTTGGTGTATTTGGGGTACACCAATAAAAGGAAATCTATGGCTATGATTGTTGGTGTACAAATGGGGTACACCAAATGGTGTACCCCTAGCATTCCTCGCTGCCACTTCTCTCCTTCCCATAAATGTCACCTTCTCAATTTTTTTTTTGTTACATTTCATTCTTCAATAATCACGAAAATTTTTGTTTGCTTGTACGTTTTATTGATTCTTTGATAAAATAAAATATTTTTGACATCTATTATTTTGAAAAAATTTTCATGTAGTTTTTAAATATATAAATATTATTTTTTTAATTCCATACCTATTTTTAAATATAATAAATTGAAAAAATTTGATATTTCACCTCATTTTACAAAATGTGGTAAACATTTAGGGACGGAGGGAGTATAATTTAAATGAATAAATGTTAAATATATTTCATATATCAAAAGTATATCCTAACATTAATCCAATTGTATTGAATTTGCATCATAATTAAATACACTTTCTTCATAATTAATGGTCAAAGATATCACTATTTGACTAAAAAAATTACTCAAGAAAGAGTTTATGAGACAGAGAGAATCTTTTTATTTTAGTTATACATTTGTTGAATACTCCATGTGTGCCAAAAAAGAATATACAATTCACTATTTAGAAATAAAATATTACAATTAAAAAAATGAACATTTTGGAGTAACATAATATTCTGAGTAACATAATACTCATTTTATTGGCATAAGTACTCATTTGCGAGTAAGAGTCCAAATTCATCATCGACATGGTACCAAAATCACGTCGCCCAATGTCACAAGAAGCCAACTATCACCATAACTACAAGAATATGTCAAATTTGTGACAAATATCTACCACGGAGCCCTTTGTCGCCAATTTGCAATGACTTTGCTGTAGAAATAGTATTATTGAAAAAGTGGTACTTATCTACGATGGAGGTTTTAAATTCATCATCGACAAAATTTTAAAATCCATCGTAGACATTAAACGCCTTATTCGCGCCTCATACAATTGACAGTGTTCTGGTTAACGTATCTGTGATAGTCTTCGTCACAAATTTTCTTCAACTTAACGACCTTATATGATTCATCGTCTTCCCTCGTTGATCCACCACAAAAAACTAACCTCGTTAGCATGAACCGACAAACACCGCGTTCTCACACCAAGACAATGCCTACTGTCACCCCAGCCGCTCCCCGCGCTCCCTCTTTGTGCTAGGGCCAACTGCCACACTCCACCCTAGCACCAACCGCAAGAAGGGAGCCACGCTAGCCTCACTGTTGCCAACCCCCCGTGCCGTCTGAAGCATTGCTGCCCCCAGCTACACCGCCCCTTTCTCATCGCGTCCTTCTTTCAGTCTCAACCACTCCAGCTGTCACAGCCTCGTCGCCTCCTCCCCACTGCCTTTGCCTAGCCCTCGTCGCCCTTTTGCCGTTGTCACATTTCTTCACTGACCTGACATTTATCCCTAAGATTGTTTTTCAATTTATTCAATTAAATTCTACTCTCTCTTTCGTCATAGATTTTCTCATTAGCCATTTTTATTTACTCCGCATAGATCTTCACATTAGTCATTTTAACATTTAAAAAATCACAAATATCCCCAATCATTTTATTTATTACATCTCACCTACCTCATTTAATATACTCCACCCATTTTCATTAAGGATATTTTGGTAAATTTTTGCTTTTTCAACTTTTCTTAAAAATTACAAAACGTCAAAACTAGAACATCTTAGGGGGACAATGGAGTACAAGTTTAGTTTTAGTATGTATCCTTGTATTATAACATTTCAACAATCAACGGTAGCGACTTAGTTCACACAAATGATTGCATTGTCTATACGAACTAATTCAAAGATGTCATTTGTTATGTTAAACTCGAGATTGTTGCATCTTTGCTCATTTAAAAAAATGGATAAGATCAAGAACGAGGCTATTCGGGAAAGGGTGAGAGTAGTATCTCGGCGGATATGCTGCGAGAAGATTACTTGAGATGGTTTGGACATATAAGGAGGAGCGCAGAGGCTCTAATGAGGAGATGCGATAAGCTTACAATAGTGGGTGCAAGTAAGGGTAGATGTAGTAGACCTACAAACAATTAGCATGAGACAAGACTTAAGTCTTGACGATCTCACCAAAGATGACATCTTAAGGATATGACCTTATAGAGAGTTAAGATTAAAATAATTGGATATATTATAGACCTTAGTCTGCAGCTTGTGTTTATGTGCTTAGGGTTTGGTTACTTGTGCCGGTAGGTGTATGTATTTCTTGTGTTTGTGATCTTACCGTATTCATGCTAAATTGTTACTTTACCTATGCTTATGTATTTGAGCCCGCGGTTTCATAGAAACAACATATCTACTTCTAAGTAATGCCAAGATGTATGAAATTGCGACACACATCTTTCCCATACCTTATTCTTGATAGACTTTGCTTAGTTTGTTGTGGTTGTAGTAATATTTTTCTCTTAAAAATAATTTTGTTAAAGAGTCCATGGAAACAAAAATACATACACAAAATAGACAAAGTAACCACACCTAGACAAAGACCCAAAGTGCACCTAACTCCTACGGAGTAAATCCTAATCAGGTTCCCACCGCCGTCACATTGGCCCTCGCCAACCCCCAAAACTTCAATTACTCGCCTCTCTTCTCTTCCTGACCGCCTATATACCCTCCAGATATAGCGAAGATAAGGACTATACAAGGACGAATTGCCCTCCCAGATTCAAGAAAGCGAGAGAGAGATGATGCGCAGTAGAGATCTGGAGACAGGGGGGACAGCAACGAAGGGCGGGAGCAATAGTCGCGCATACCCACAATCAAGCCATGCCGTGGAACCGTACTATGCGGAAACCTCGGAGAAGCATCGGACATCGTGGCTGGTGCCTTTGATTGTGGCCGTCAATGTTGTTGTGTTTGCAGTCATCATGTTCGTGAACAATTGCCCTCACAGTCATGAGAGGAGGAGGTTTGGGAGGAACGGGGAGTGCGTTGCGAGGTTTCTTGGGCGGTTCTCTTTTCAACCCCTCAGAGAAAATCCACTCTTTGGGCCTTCTTCTTCTACGTGAGTTTCTATTGTTTTGTTCTACTACCCTTTTTCTAGCTTCTTGTTTTTTATTTGAATACTCACTCACTTCAAGATCCATTTATTTGGTTTTTATGTGTCAACTAATTTGACTGTTTAAATGTGAATTAATGTTTAGTTTTGGAATTTACATGTTCTAATGTCAAAGTTTTGCGAGGAAGAGAGAATATTGAATAACTAAATGAAATTTAATACTTAGAGAATTAGCTGTTTTGCTCGAGAGATGGGCCGCTGATTTTTGTTCTTGCTGATACTATTTATCCATTGTCTTTGGTCTTTCAAGACAATTGCAATGGAGAAGCTCTTCATTGCTAATTCTGTTATTGGATATGTTGCTATAATGCAGTGAATTTTGTCTACACTAGAAGTCTAGAAGACTAACCTGTCCCATAAGATTTTAGATTGCTTGGGTTTTATGTCACACTGAGTAGAATATGCATAGCAAGCAAAGATCATATGGTCTTGTGTCTATGTGTGTGCTTCCATGTGCTCCTAAAGCATCACCTAGGCAGACCAAGGCTATTTGCTAGCTTACTTCTAACTAATTTGGGGCGGTACTTGTGCAGACTGGACAAAATGGGTGCACTAGAGTGGAACAAGATAGTTAGTGATCATCAAAGATGGAGGCTTGTCACTTGTATATGGTTGCACGCTGGGGTTGTCCATTTGCTTGCTAACATGTTGAGCTTGTTTTTCATTGGGATCCGTCTTGAGCAGCAATTTGGATTTGGTACTTTTTCATTGGATTTGCTTACTCCTTGGTGCTTCTGATCTTGATCTACTATCATCCCTTTGTTGTTTTCGTAGGAGTATGGTGTTGACGACATGTGCATAGACTTACCTTGCTTCCACTTTATTGTTTTCAGTCCGTGTAGGTATAATCTACCTGCTGTCAGGAATAAGTGGGAGTGTTCTGTCTTCCCTTTTCATTCAGCACAGCATTTCTGTTGGAGCTTCTGGCGCAGTCTTCGGACTTCTTGGAGCAATTTTGGCCGAGTTGCTTACCAACTGGACCATTTATTCCAATAAGGTATAAATTACATCAAAAGGCTTTATGCGATTTTGTTCCTGCATAATCTTGTTACTTTATCTTGGCTTTCTTGAAAAATTGGCAAACTGAATAGGTGTTCTGATTTAAGTAGATATTTTATAGTTCAAAGATAAATTTTAGAGTAATAAATTCCCCAAATAGTACTCTATATTTAAGGATATTCCATATTTAGTCAATTACTTTATGAAATTCCATTGGAAGTCCACATTAATTATGAACATTTTTTTGTTTTAGTCCTCTAAGTAATTAAATACCAACTAAGGTCCTTAAGATTTTAAAACATTGCTACTTTTAGTCCTTAAGTGTATCATATTAATGATCTTTGATGGAAAGAGGACTAAAATTGGTGATGCTTACGATTAAAGTGGACCTCCAGTGGAATTTCGTAAGTGGACTACATGTGGAATATCTCTAAACATGAAGGACCATTTGTTGAAATCACACTAAATTTTACAAGAACCATTAATTGAAGAGTAACACTTCTCTCAATTGCAGGTTGCTGCTCTTTTCAGTCTCGTTGTAATAATTGCAGTCAACTTAGCTGTGGGGATTCTTCCTCATGTTGATAATTTTGCTCACATCGGAGGTTTCGTTAGTGGGTTTCTTCTTGGCTTCGTGTTGCTGCTCCGACCTCAGTTTGGTTGGCTGGAAAGGAGGCATCGGCGAGCTGAAAGCCAGATCAAGTCCAAGTACAACGTGTGCCAATATTTTCTCTTGGTGGTTGCCTTGATTTTATTCATCATTGGGTACGCTTCATTTCATATTATTCCCTGCTACACAAAGCTTTAAAAATCCCATTGAAACCGCTTTCCGTGAATAATCTTGTGATTTTGCTGAATATAATATTTACCTGAACTTCAGTACTCCCTCCGTCCCACTACTTTTTGCCCCATATCATATTTAGTACTCCATCCGTCTTAAGAAAGGTTCCACATTACTAGCCACACGGTCAAATTGTGTTTTCCTTGCATATTTATTTTTTATTGAGCATTTGACAAAATAAAATAGTCATGTCACCTCTTGTTCTACAGAACTTTCGATCTACGGTGTAATTTTTAAATAATAAATTTTTTATTTTCTAATTTTACGCCAATTCTTTGCTTACTATACCCTTCTATATGGTGTTTTACAATAAAAAACACCAACCATGTTAACAAGACATTGGCAGCTAACTTTGAGATCATCCTCAATGTCAAATGCTTACAGATTCACAGTGGGTTTGGTGATGCTCTTTAGAGGAGAGAGTGCAAACGACCATTGCAAGTGGTGCCACTATTTAAGCTGCATACCCACATCCAGGTGGCGATGCGATGAGAACTGATACCGATCGCGTTCTTGATTCTTTTTTCGTATCAACAATGGTGTGTAAGTTGGGTGTTTATATATGTTGTGGAATTTAGCTATAGTTGAAGAGTGAGTTGTTTGAATATACATAGCTATTATTGTAAAGTGAACACATGTCCTTGTAAAGTTTTATCTTCCTCCTTCCCACAGCTGTCCAATAAATCAAGGACCCTACTTGGCGTGTACACCAATTTTAGATTATATTGGCCCACATGACCTCAGAGTCTTATGGTGCTTCGTTCGAGGGTTCCTACCGATCTAACCTCCTCCACCCGGCCCGAACCGCACCCACCCCCAACCCCCTTCAAATGTACCCTTAAATTTGGTTGACTTTGGAGTTAAAATTTGACTCTAAAGTCAACCAAATTTGGAGGGTGCAATTGAAGGGGTTGGGGGGTGTTTTTCGGTGGTAGGAATCGTTAAATTTCCGAACAGAACACTTTAGGGCCTCGGTCATCCTATGAAATTGGTTCTAATGTCATGAGAACCAAGCCGATTATATAAATACTCCTTTATAACATAAGTTTATTCTAAAATACGGACTACTATATTCAATAAAAATACTCATTTATCATTCAAATCAAAACTTAAAAATCACTATTTACCCTCTTCACTATTTAAAAATCATAAAAACTTTTATTTATTTGTATATTTTCATTAATTACTTGATGAACTACAACATTTTTGTCACTTCTTTTTTTGTAAAATTTGACTTTTTGAAAATGCAAATTTTATTTCTTATTCTTATATCAATCTTTAGATAAAATTAATTGAAAAAATTTAGAATTTTATTTTATTTTACGTAAAGTGTAATTCATTTAGAAACCAAGGGGTATTTGAAATTTAAATGTTCAAATTTAAATAATAATATTAGAATAGGAACTATGAATCAAACTAAAATTATTTATTTCATTTACAACTTTATATTCACCCGCTAAAAGGATAACAATTGTAAATTGTTGACTTTTAGATTAAAGCACACGACATGCAAAAATGGCAATAAATTAACCGAATAACTGGCTGCATAATATTTCTGGTACATATACGACAAATACTAATTTACAAATAATATAATACTCATTTCACATATCTTTTATGTTAGTTGAAATAAATATTGTATTACTCGTAAAAATACATTCTGTATAAAAGTAATGAGTATTAATTACTCCGTACTTCTCAAATTAAGCTACATATACTTTATAATGTACAATGATTTAAATAACTAGTAAATAAATATGCAAAATGAATATTTTGTTACTCAAAAATGTTTATATTGCACGAATGCACGAGAAACATCAAAACATCCAGAGACTCTACACAAATCCAAATAGACTAACCCACAACTTGGAATACCATATAAAAGATCGGTATATTATACAATTGGATATAGAGTGGTGCACATCTTATCTGTTTTGTTCTGCACATTCCTAGGGTATATATAATACGGAGTATATGAACATTTTCACTATGTTTGGTTCAAGGATTTTGGAAGGAAAAGAAAAGAAAACGATTTTCTCTCATTTTCCTCACCAAAATGGGAGGAATTTGGTTTTCCCTCCATTTATTACATTTGTCTTCTCATTTTCTTTTCCTTCCAATTTTCCTCTCCAACCAAACATGAAAAACTATTTTCCACTCCATTTTCTTTTCTTTCCACATTCAAATTCCTTGAACCAAACATAGTGTTTATAGTTACACAATGTGCATCACATTTATACGAATTGTTCGTCTTCTCGTTTGCCATGCCCCCAAGGAAAAAGTTTACATTTTTTATTTGTTCCAAAATCACCTCTTTGTTTTTCCCCCTCTATTTTATTCATCTCTCAAATTTTGTTTCATATCATATTTCCTAACATTTGTATGACTCAAATTCATCCCTACATCATCTTTTTCACTTCAATATCTACACAATCCTATTTTCCTTAATGTAAGTGTCTCATCCCTTTGTCCCAAAAATAGTGGGGTGGAGTATGTGATCCATATTATATCCCTCTGTAAAAACATGCATTTTTTTTTACCTTTCTTAATAAATGTCTCGGGTAAAATAGTGGAACCTTATTTGGGCACGGCGGGGAGTACTATGAAGATTTAACTCTCTGCATCCATGCGTTCGATTACTCGACGTGCCTCCGCTTCTGTAGCAGGAACAACATTGCGGATCCTCAACCCGTTCTTCAATGCATCTGAGCAGACAGAGAATGTGAAGTAGAACTTGTTTGAGACCTTGCAGAAAAGCAACCATAATAAATTAATAATACTCAGATACAAAAGCTCAATATGATGTAAAAAAATTGGAACTTTTCAACAGCACAACAACAACAATCCGGTATGATCCCAATTCTGTTGGGGGCCTGGGGGTCAAGATGTATGTAGTCTTATCCCCATTAAACAGAGACTGTTTGTATCTTTCAGCAGTAAGGATATGCAAACTGAATGTAGGTGTTAACTTATCAGCCACTAGCTTTTTACTAGTTGGACATGTATGTAGACTTGAGCATATTTTTTAATAGCAAGATAAGTAACTGTTGTCTAAGGTTAAAACCAGGATATCAATAACAATGTCACAATGACAATAAAACCATTAACATCATTAAGTTATTGTGCTAACCTCACTGGACCGCAGTTCAGGTCTTGTAACATGAGCTACAACTTCAACATTAATTAAAGGCTGACATGGGTTCTCCAGTTCTGTGTACAAAACACATGATTTGAAACGAAGGAAATTTCCAACATCCACCTGCACCAGCAGATCGAATGTTAAAAATCAAAGTTACATTCGATGATAAAAACTTGAATTCTCCTTATCCATCATATTACATCATAAAAAAGTCCATCTACCCCTACAAATGATAAAGAAAACCTTGTGTAAAATGAAATTGCTTGGAAACAAACTGGTTACAATAGATGTTCAATAAAAAACAATGTGTATAAGAATTGTCTAATTCTAAAGCCATGTATGGTGAGCAAAACAAGTGTGGGTTGTGATATCTAAGACATCAAATTCCTTTTGCAAGTGTTTGGTGAACCGTAAAAAGGGTTGAATTTTGATATCTCCTGATATCTGACCTCCCCTGAAAATGGAAGATATCTTCCTCCACTGCCAGCCAAACACTACCGTCGTTGTCACCGCTACCACTGGTTCCCTTTGATTCAGTTCCAATTTTTTCTATTCTCTTCAAGGTATCAAAACTCATTTCATTTTTTCCTGATATCAGAACTCATTCCATTCCAACACGAGTTTGCTCACCAAACAAGGCCTAGAAGTGAAATGAAATGAATGAGGGTGGAGTTTGATGATGATAAGATCATAATGATCAAACTAGAAATTACGGAGTAACATATTATTCAAAACTTGTATTTTTAGTTATTTCAAGTTATTTTTTATATTATTTAAATTTGCCTCGTTGTGTTTAGATTTGTTGTTGTTGCTGTAGTGATTAGATTAGAATCTAGTCATTTATATATTTTACTCACTTATGGGATTGAATCATAGACCTACTTTGCCTATAGTTCATACGGAGTATTAATTCTTGCATTTGTGTCATGTGGCCACACCATAGATGTGATCATTATGGTAAAGGCTCATAGCCATTGCCCTATTGCCATATGCCATGGTATGTGTCGGCAGCGTGCGCAACAAATTTGAGTTTGATGGAGAGAGTGACAAAGTCACCAAACGAGGCGGTTATGACTAGGGTACATGGACCAATCTTAATAGGCGTAGTTCCAATCTTCATAATAAAAATTTTGCATCAAGATGAATAGCTTTTTATGTTCATTTAAAATCTTATTAAGAAAATGAATCGTCATTTTCAGCCCCCCTGGTGAATTGTCGAGAAGACAATAAGAGCATATTCTAAATCTTAAGAAGTACACTCCCTAAAAATGCATCAGATAAAGAATAGTTTTCTGGTGTAAACCTTGTTAACAAGTTAGGCCACTAACTAAATCAAGGGACTGAGAGGTTTACAC